ACCTGAGCAGTTCTGCTTCTCAAAGTCTACTGTCTACTTCATAACAACTTTATGTGTCTACATCTCTGTCTGCTCACCCTCCTGGCTGCTGCTCTCTGTATCTCCTCCTAAGGGTCCCCTACCCTTGCTGTTTCTAATTTGCTGTCCTTTATTTACTCACAAAGAACTGAAAGTTGTCTCAGTAACAGGCGACCAATGGTAGGTCCCAAACTTCATCTCCCAAAGAGCTCTAAGCCAGCAGGGTGAAGATGGAGCTCCTCTGTACCCACCAGGAACCATCCTGAACTTGAGGAGGTGTTTACTATGCCACTCTGGCACCTGACTTCAGGAAAGCAGAGTATTAAGACTGTATTTTACGGTATATGTTTATACGTCTCAGGATTCTAATCCCATTTCATTTCAAAGTATTTATCCCATTGACTTGAACGTACTTCTGATGGCTTTTGCTTCTAGCCTCTGGGAACTTTCTGGGGAAGGTAATTTTTCTCCCTGGTCTGTCTGCTCACTCATGCCATCAGCCTCTGATGTACGCTCACCTGAAAGAAAGGCCCAGGGGTAGAAAGACAGGCCTCTCAAAGTACAGGTGAGTAGAATTGTTTTTTTGTATGTATGAATGAACCTTTCATCAATCCTACGATTCCAGGAATAAAAACATAGCATTTAACAATCATCTCTCTTAAATTGATAAGCAATCACTCAAGTTAGAAGATAAAAAGTGGGAAGAGCTAGAGTCTAGTTGCTTGAAATCAGCCTGAGCAACATGCTGAAACCTTAGCTCTATAAAAAATGGAAAAATTAACCAGGCGCATTGGCATGTGCCCGTAGTCCCAGCTTACTCAGGAGACTTCAGTGGGAGGGTCACCTAAGCCTGGGGAGGTTAAGGCTGCAGTGGGCCATGATTGTACCAGAGCACTCCCATGATTATGTCAGAGCACTCCAGCCTGGGCAAAAGAGACTATGTCTCAAATCACAATAATAATAATAATAATAAATAACATAAAAAGAAAGTAGAACATGTCGACTCCATAGTTGGAGGAACAGATCACATTTCTCAGTACTTACTCTTCTGTCTTTCCCTACATTTTCCTTGTGTCTGCTGCAAATCATCATTCAAATCCAATTCAGCAGGGCTGCTGCTTCTTCGAACTAAGATCTTCAGACAAAAAGAAATACTGTATTTACTACAGGAAAGTTTTTATTTCTACAAGACTCAAGTTTCTAGCCCAAATTTATAAAGAAAAAGAAACAAACAATAATAACTAAATAAACTGATGTTTTCTATTTGAAGGATATGTTTTCACAAATTATTATATTTAATTTCATGTTACTCAAGATCCGACACTTTATATCCTCTACTTTGTCAATTTACATCCAATTAAACTGATCTAAGAAGGAATGCCAAATCATAGGGAAGAAATTTGTTTTAAAGTTCTATTTATTTTTCTGGTCAAGCACACATATATAGTGAACACGATGCTCTAGGAAGGCCTAGATTATCCACACAAACGGTGAGTGTGCTGGGAGGGAAGGCACAAACTCTACCGAGAGTTCTAAAGTTCCACTCAGTGTCCTCCTAGTTAAGTGTGCCACAGACTCTCCTGAGCATTGCTTAACCTTGTATTAAATTCACAGGATTAAAAAAAAATCAGGAAGCAATCTGCATCCTCTAAAAAGTTATAATATGCTTGGAGAGACAAAACATACATAAATTACACAAAATAATTATAATGTATATAAGCAAAATATGCCAACTTTTTGAAACAAAATATTTTGAAACAAAAATGGCCAATAAACACGCGGGAAGATTTTTAACCTCATTAGTAGTCTAAGAAATGCAAAATAAGATATCCTATTTTCACCCAGTTGACCAATAAAAATGAAAAAAAAATCAGATAATAGAAAGTATTGGTAAGAATGTAGATGAATGGAAGCTCCACACAATGTTGGCAAAAATATAAGTGACGCAACCACTTTGGAGAACAGGAGTTATCTTTTAAAGAAGAACATTCTTGTATTCTATAACTCATTAATCCTAAATAGCCAGCGTAGAGAAAACATTAAACATGTAGGTACTGAAATACATACAAGAATGTACATGACTACAGTTTTCATAAAAACAAAAAGGTGGAAACAATCTAAAGGTCGACCAACAAGAGAATGAAAAAACACATTGTGGTCTACTTATAGTGGAACACCATATCACAGAAAACTTGATGAACTATTGCTATATGCCACAATGTGGATAAATCTTAAAAACACATAACTGGGTAAACAAAGCAACAGTACTTTATTTGAAAATCAAAAGTAAGGAAAACTAAAGAGCATTCTGTTTTGAGATACATACTTATACAACAAAACTATAGAGCAAAGCAAGGGGATGATGAACACAAAGCCAAGGTAAGGCCCCTCCCTGTGGGGAGGCAGCAGAGAGAGGGAACAAGGAAGGAGCGTAGAAGCCAAAAAACAACACCGTAGATATTCCTGATCAGACGCTGATGGTGGGTTTGTGGGTATTTCTGTCATTGCTGAAAACAGAATATACAAATGTAAACTGGCACATGCCCTTTTAAAAAATAAAGAAAAAAGAAACTTAACATGGGTTATTGTCCAGTAAGAGGGGAACAAAAAGAGGCCCTCCCTTTTTAATTTTGTATCTTTCTGTGATGTTTGAGTTTTCTATGAATACATGCTACATTAAAAAAAATGAATAGGGGTTATCTGCATGAATGAGTTATAGGTTTATGTTTTAATTTTCTTCTTTATATTTACATATATATTTAAATAAGTGCCATTTAATTTATTTTATTTTATTTTAAAGAAACCTAACATCTTTGTGAATACTCACTGATTCCAGTAACTCATGTCAGGTGGAGGCTACCTAAACTGATGTCAGGAATGGGGAATCTGAAATGTAAGTTTAACAGGCAAAGTTAACTGCTTAAAAATATCCAGTGCCATACACAGATCAGGCTCTGAAGAACTCAAACTCCATTTTCACGTTAATTTTTTCCTATTTTTGTAATGTGACCGTAATTTTACATAGAAAGCAAGTAAAATATTGAAAGATATCAACATCATTTGGGCCCATAACCTGTCTAAATGGAAAAAAAATGTTTTAATTATCACTGCCACCAATAAATATACTTACTGAGCACTAACTAATGTTTATTTTTAATGACAAACTGAAATGGTTTGAAAATATCTTACTGTTACTCCTTCGTGTTCTCTCTTCACATGTCCTTTATTCTCTTGAATAGGCTGAGGCTCTGAAGAACTCAAATTCTGTGCGTTTTCTGCCTTTTGACCTAGAAATGGTGGAGCAGGGGGTACCAGAAATAGATAGAAGGAATGTTTCAGAAAGTAAAACTGGAAAATGATTTTATATATAAGTAACTATTAAATTTAAATATTCTAAGACAAGTAAAAACAGGTATTATGGGCCTGGCAAAACAGCAGCCTATGGGTCAAGTTCACACTTTAGACCTGGTCTCTGGCCCACAGAGAGCTCTGAAGAGAGTGGATTGATTACTGTTCTCTGTGGCCAACAAGTTCACTTAGCGCACTTAGTACAGGGGAGGGCAATGAAACCCTTCCTGCGGTCTGGGGGAAGGCATCTCAGAGAAAAGGTACCTAGGCTGGCCTGGTGAACTAACAGGAAGAAGAGATCAGTAAGGTGCCTCAGTATTGCTTGAGAATAAAGATTGATGGGAGCACAAATAACCAGTTTTCAGTAATAAAAAAAGGAATAACACCACAAAGCCTGAAAACACTAAAACTGATCATAAGAGGATTTTATGAATAATCTGGGAACAATAAATTTGAAAACAATGAGTAAGTTTCTAAAAAAACATAATTTATCAAAGTTAAAACAAGAAAAGGAAAATCTCAATAGTCCTGTAACTATTTTACTTTTTAAACTTTTTAAATTTTTTAACTTAACATACAAAAACTATATTAACGTATTGTATATAGCATGTTGTTTTGAAATGTGTGTATGTACTGTGCAATGGCTAAATTAAGCTAATGAACATGTATCACATACTTACTTTTTTGTGGTGAGAACACTTAAAATCTACTCTCAGCAATTTTCAAGAATACAATACACTGTTACAAATTATAGTCACCATATTGTACAACAGAGGTCTTAAACTTATTCCTCCTCTATAACTGAAATTTTGTTAAAATATGAATGGTATTTTAAAACATTCCTACAAGAAAAATCCAGGCAACTGGTAGTTTCTACCAAATACATATGGAAAAAAATAATAACTTTATATAAAACCTTTCAAAAATTTTTCAGATAACACATATTCTGAAGCTTTTTTTGTATTTTCTTATTTCAAGGGAATTTCTAAGCGAGAATAATTCCCTACTCATCTCATGAGACTAGCATGACCCTGGCATTAAAAGATAGGAGATAACTTGTTGACAAATAGAATGTCTTAATTTATGACATCCAAACTGAATAAGTAGGTCCACTGATACGACACACTTTAAACATACTCTTTCACTTAGAAACACATTCTTTGCTGTTTATAGGTAAAACCATCTGTCTCCTTGCTTTCCACACTCTGTTGCTGTTTCAAGTTGTTGGTGAAACCGTGTAGATTAATGCCATTAAAAGTTATTATTTTCAACCTCAGCAGAGTCAGCAAGCTGCTAATAAACTTTTTCACAAGTCTGGTCAGCTTTCCATTCTCATTTTCAACTTTAATGACTCTTCTCACAGCCCTTTCCCTACATCCCTGCCCCCCATCCTGCCGCCCTGCCTTCTGTATACTTAATTGATGCTCTTCCTGACTTCATGTTATAACAGTCTCTGTTTCTCTTCTACTCCAGCCACTTGGACTCCTGTCTAGTTCTCAAACATGCCAACCTTTAAAAAAGTGGGTATATATCTACATATAGATAGATATAATTTAGACAAACGTTTAAATAGTGCAAATATTTCACTGCCATAAATCACATCCTTGCAATCAAATTAAAAGGTTAATTCCCTTGAAATAAATATATTTAGAATACATGTACAAAGTAATGCTATATGCAGCTTTTATTCCTCTATCATAATCTATAGTTCTGTATTAATCACTGAAGACATCACGTACCCTGAGAAAAATCTGAGCACAGCGGCTCGGGGATATCAGAGGTGCTGCTACTCCGAAGGACCTGCTGCTGCTGTCCCACCGTGAGATGGCCAGATCCAGATGCAGGTGCATTTTCTGACTGTTGACACTCCTCCACTTCTGTGAGCATTAACACAAAACATGCAAGGTTACAGTTCAAGATTTTTAAAAACACATTCACCACTTAAAACAACAGATTTAAAAAATAAAATTTCAAATGCTTTTCACAAAGTCAGATAATCTGCATTTATACCATCAAATTTCCTACACGTGCTAACCCCTAATATTCCACTCCAAGAACACACTTTCCACTTAAGCTCTATAAAAACTTTTATTTTTCAATCAAAGTAAAGGAAAAAAGCCACAATAAAAGGTTAAGAACTGTAAAAGTCATTTGGAATTTCAGGGCCAGGCATGCCAAGGAAAGAGAGATCCAGGAGATGCATACAATGGGTAATTTACATTTGAGAAGAGCAGAAAACAACCCCCCACCCCCCCCAACACACACACCCACACCCACACCCACACCCTAAAGGAAGATGAAAGGAAACATGGGAATTTCTGCTGCATTATTCCTTTTTAACAGATAAGTGCCAAACTGTCCAAAATAAAGTTCTATAGTTATTTAATGGCTTATTTCATCAAATACAACGTCTAATTATTCTCTAAAGTACAGAATGATTCACAGGTATTTAGAGAAAACCAATATATATATGACATAAAATAGAAAACCATAGATGGGTAGGGACCACAGGATAATCTCAGTATTATTACAAGCTATATTTCCCTAAAGAATGAGTTCCCCCCAGCTCACTTCTAAACTGCACAGTACACTTTAATCTGTAAAGACCACCCAAGGCACTAGAATTATCAGCCCACTCTCTCTCTAGAGTTACAGCTTTAGGGTTGCACCATCTTTTACACAGCTTGTTTTAAGACCCTGCTAACTAATCACTAATCACTGTCCCCATCTTCTTACCACCTTCATATTTATCCTCTCCATGCTCCCTCTAAAATAAAGATCTGACTGTGCCACTCCTCTTAAAACCCACCAAAGCCCTCTCTTGTTATAGAGTAGTCAAACACATGCTGGTCAGGGTGAATACGGGCTTTCCTTGATCTCACAGGACATACTGATCCCCTTGCAAGGTTCTCTAGCTCACTTTAATCTCCAGTAGTACTAACCCAGTTGGCACCTGCTGCTCTCTTCTTCCTGCTGTTCACTCCCCTATGCTAAACTCACACATGCTCCCTCATCCCTCTTTGCTGTGCTGCCCTGGGAATATCCCCTACAGGACTTGCTCCCTAGCCCACATGGAAGCCCCACTGCTGTGTTTCATACTACATTCCACACTCACTGATATAGTCATAAAACTCTACATCCACATAACTAGAATAAAGTATTTTCCAAAAATTTTAATCTGCTAATTACTACTACTAAGAAGAGGTTGATCAAAACTCAGCCTGTAGTATCTTAACTGGCTGGGTCACCTGGTTTATCACCTGAAAGGAAACTCACTGCCAGTGAGCCACCCTCTGTATAATCCTTTAATCTGAGTCATAAGGCAAAGTGATGGCTCACCTTATGCACGAAGTATGTAGGAAGATTCTAAATTTAATACACAGGATTTCAATAAAGGGTTGCTATTTTATTTTTTCTATCCAAATGAAAATGCCATTTTATAGTATGTTGATATAGTTACAAGACCTTAAAACTATGAAATTTGTGTGATCCTTCACTTACAAAAATTTATCTATTTCCTTGTTTTTTTTGAAACAGTGCCTTGCTCTGTGACCAGGCTGGAGTGCAGTGGTGTGATCATAGCTCACTGCACATGTGACCTCCCTGGCTCAACTGATCCTCCCACCTCACCCTCCTGGCTACCTGGGAGTTCAGCACACACCACTGTGGCCACAAATTTTTGTCTTTTCAGAGAGATGGGGGTTTGCCATGTTGCCTAGGTCTCAAGCAGTCCGCCCACCTCGGCCTTCCAAAGTGCTGGGATTGCAGGCATGGGCCATGGTGCCAGCCCATAGTCTAGCTTTCGATGCTGGTAGGAAACTGAGTTTGGAGTACAAGCCGAGATAGGCCAAGGTAGAAAGAAAAGGCAGATACGTTAAAGCCTCATGTTTCCCAGGTTGTCTTTGCCTTCTTCTTCTTTTGAACAGCCAAGAACTGTTCATTTTTCTACAGAGAAACACAAAGCATATGTGCACATTTTTAATGTACCTACACATCCCAAAGTGTAGACTACATCCTTCTCACAGATCTATTTCTAGTCTCTTCAGCCTTCAGCAACAAAAGCCAAATAACACCATAGGACCAGCCCTTCCGGCTGTCTTCTCTCATTGTTTATTCTAATTATCCAAGATGTTGAAACCTTCTGGAAAGAGTTTCTGTTTGTTAATGAATTTCCTTGTTAATCCAGTATCAGTAGAGGGAGCCCAAGAGCTGCCTAACTTTCTAAAATATAATTGGCAAATGCCATCTTTCATGGATAGTGGGAAGAGCTGGTTTTATTCTCTGAAGCCTGATGCCAAAAACTGATAGATGTTGATTTCTGGCCTATGAGCAGGAGCAAATAAGGGCTGAGCCAACACTGGCAGCATCTTTCTAAAGATAAAGAACATCGCCATCTGGTGGGATACAATATAGCCACAGCACCATTGCTTCCAAATTAGAGTGTCCCCACTGGTCTTCAACACAGCAGACGGACGAAGAGCCTGCCACCACCAGCTGGTCTGCCTTACCAACAGACTGGCCTAATGCAGCTTTTAAGGCTTTGTTTTTATAAAACTGTCAGGAGGGACTTGTCAGATGGAGGAAGTCCAAGCCTTTAGGAATAGTGGTCAGTGGCAGGGTGTTGAGTGGGAAGGAAGGGGAGAGTTATGATGCTTAAGTGTGCTGTGGTGTTGTAGGTACCCTGAGCTACTCCTGTAGTTGACTATCAATTGAGATGGTATGAAAAGAGAATTTTCAGTTCTCCTTATGCCACAATTTAAACCCAAATTCCTGATTCGTAAGGGTACATTTCTTGGCATTCTCATCCTTTATGTTAAATACATGTTTTGTAGAAATGAATACATGAATGACAAACATTTTCTTTATACTATTTTTCCTTTTTATATAGTTCTTGGGCTCCCTCTGCTGGCATTTTATTTAAGAAAGAGCAATTTATGTTAAAGCTGCTGTCATTCTATGGGGTTAGCTGTAGCAGTTGTTCTTTCGTAACAAATGAAAATCATTTTAATAGTGATATGCAAATACCAAAAGACAAGATTATCCGATATTTAAAATAGAGAAAGAATTATATCAGTTACATTAAAATTACATAATAAATCCTAGATCTATCACATCTTCTATTTTGAATGCCACACAATTTCTGTTTAAATCACTTCAAAGCGCTAAATTCTATCTTAGATTTGTCAAATAATGTACTCTCTCTAAAGCTTAGCTAGTCCCAATTGCTCAGATTTTAAATCACTAACTTTCTCTTCTCTTGACAATGTAAGTTACACAATACCATTACTAAACCATTACTTTCTAAAGCTCCATTCAAAACACTTGAAAATGATCTAATTTCATTTTTTCCCATTAAGAAAAGGCAGTGTGATCAAATTAAATTAAGTGTGTAAGCTTTTCAGTAACTTCTATATTTTTCCAGATCTCTATTTTTCACAGCAATTTCACTCACTTTTTAAGGCTTCCTTAATCAGTCTTCCATTTACTAAATGGAGTGAGGCTCATTCTTCAATAACCAAATTTCTGAGTTCAATTTCTCCCTTTTACAAGGTTGCATAAGCAAAATAAATAGTATAATTTCCTAATTTTTGAAACACCATGTATGATACCAATCTGATCCTATAAAAAGCATAGGAAATGCGCATCAACTCAGCATCTTGAGGTTTCCCACAAGATCAAATTTCCCAAAGGTAAATCAGACCAGGTCCTGACAAAAAAGCACTTCCTGGAAGCACATAAACCAGATGCAGAAGCAGTGAGGCAAGGTTTGCCATACCGTTCCTATATGTCCTTTTTGAATAAGGGGTGACTGTTGATTCTCTCATTACTACTATTACAATATTCCTAAAAGAAAATAAAATCTACCATCTGTGTGGCCTGTTAAGTGCTACAGACTGATAAATGTCCCAACCTAAAAAGCAGTTAAAATTGTAGAAGAGGCACTCACAGCACTTTGGGAGGCTGAGGCGGGCAGATCACGATGTCAGGAGTTCAAGACCTGCCTGGCCAACATGGTAAAAGCCCGTCTCTACTAAAAATACAAAAAATCAGCTGGACATGGTCGCATGTACTTGTAATCCCAGCTACTTGGGAGGCTGAGCAGAAGAAATGCTTGAACCGGGACCGGAGAGGTGGAGGTTGCAGCAAGCCGAGATCACACCACTGCACTCCAGCCTGGGCTACAGAGAGAGACTCCGTCTCAAAAACAAAAAAAAATATAGAACAGCTGGAAAGAACTGTTCTCACAAAGAAAAAAAAAAAAAAGAAAATCACAAAAACTGTCAGTCCTACCTCCCTAACTGTGTTTATGTAGCTATTCATATTAATGGAAACAGGTGGTTGTGACTCCAAAACACAACATCACTTCTTCCTCCCAGAATACAAACAACCTGCCCAAAATTCTGCTGCTGCTGCCAAACACAATCCCAAAAAGATCAGAAAAATATACAATCGTGGCTAAAAGTAAGTAATTCTCTATTGCTTATATTATTAAAACAATTTTGTTGGGTTGACTAGTTACACAGATAAGAAATAAAAACAACAAAAAAATGTTAACTTAAATGTAAACAAAATTAGCAATCAGTCGCTGATAGGGTACAGAACTTGTGGCCAGAAAGCAAAATTAAGTGTCCTATTATCTAGCAGTAGGTTAGCAGGATATGCCTACACACTAGGATTTAAACTGCAGGACAAATTCAATTACTTTAATGAACCAACCAGTAGAGAATATACAATTTGGCCTTGGGTCAGTCTCTTGACAGGACAGTCACAAAGGACAAAGGCATCAATTTAATAGTAAAGAACCAATGGCATCAGGCTAAGAAGCTCACCATCATAGTAGTCAGATGAAACAGATAATGGCAGGTTGTTCTCAAAGCCACTATACCCTGAAGTCCTTTCACCCCTTGTGCTACAAAATCAAGAACAAAGATAGCAAAGGCAGGGAACTACAGACCGAGCCCAGGACACTTGATTCCACTCTAACACAGGATTTCTCAGCCTCAGCACTGCTGGTATTTTGGGCCAGACAATTCTTTGTTTGGGAGCTGTTCTGTGCATTGCAGGCTATTGGGCAGCATCAATAGCTGACTTCCATCCACTAGCTGCCAGTAGCACTGTCCCACTTGTGACAATTAAAAGTGTCTCCAGGCCTTGTTGAAACTGTTGCCAGTTGAGAACCACTTCTCTAAATCATATTTAACTTCAGTTGGAACTGTATACATATACACAGGAACCAAGAGTCTTAGTAAAATAAAATGTTATACTGCATGAGAACAAAAGCTTCCAAAATTAAATTACTAACAGGAAGAGATTTCTTGTGGGAACATGTTTTGGACAAACTAGTAAAAAACTTGAGAAACCAAAGATGAAAAAAAATGGACTGTGACATAAGAAAACTTTTCACCACAAAAAAAAATTCTTTTGGGGTACATATCAGTCAAATAGGGGGTAAAATCATTTTAAATACTTTATTAGTCATCGGGCAGTTAAAACTCAACATTAATTTAACTGACTAGTGACAATTTTCCCATGTACCATTCTTACTGTTTTTTTTTACCTTTAATAGTTACTGGAGAAAAAGAGTCTTCTAAAAAAACATTATAGCCCTCACTCTTGGTAAAACTAACTTATTTCCTTAAATTCTACAAAGTAATATGGTATTTTACATAGCCAACAGAGGACTTAAGCTTTAATTTTGCTTTGCTAAAACACAGTATAACATAATTTAGTACTACAGAAAGCCACAACTAGGTTATCGCCAATGTTAAAAAAAAATACTAATCTTTGGGAGGCCGAGGCTGGTGGATCATGAGTTCAGGAATCCAAGACCACCAGCCTGGCCAACATGGTAAAACCCCATCTCTACAAAAAGTACAAAAATTAGCTGGGCATGGTGGCACACACCTGCAGTCCCAACTGCTCGGGAGGCTGAGGCAGGAGACTTGCTTGAACCCAGGAGGCAGAGGTTGCAGTGAGCCAAGATTGCGCCACTGCATTCCAGCCTGGGCAACAAAGCAAGACTCTGCCTCAAAAAAACAAAAACAACAACTACTAATCTACAATACCAAATTTCTGAAACTAAAAAAGATCATAAAAATGATCTTTCTCTTTTTAGGAAGAAGATCCAGTTCATCCTAGAATCACTACAAAATAATTAGACTAGACCTAATTGTTCACTATAGAGCAAGGTAAATCCTGTTGAAGTAGCTAGGCTAAAAATGACTTTTGGTGCTATGATGTCTTAAATAAAATGTACTGTGTGTAAATCACACACGGCTACATTCAATTTCAATTGGCCAAAGTACAGGAACAACATTTCTTTGTTTTGAAAATTATTGCTTTTTTGCACTGGTCCTTTTTCACTCAAATTTCAATAGTCAATATGAATCTACATAACTGATCATTACTTCACATATATGATTTATTAACTCCAAGTAGATCCTGCCTACATAATTTTTCCAGTTTATTCATTTTTTTTGGAAGATACAGCAAGCATTCTAATACTGACATGTTCAAAACGTTTACGAAAATCCCCTAACTTTCTATGGGCACTCTATAAAGACACACTAAAGCAGGCATCACATTTCCCCCTATTAAAAGCTATGGACTTAAAATCCTTCTATCCTCCTTAATTGTTATTGCAAAGACCAAAGTCACCAAAATTTTTCTTGACTATCTAATTGCCACTAAGCGTCTAACTACACAAAGACAATTACTAGTATTCACTGCAATTTAACACTAGTGCTATGGTTAGGCACATGTGTGATGTGGGCATATTAACAAAGGAAGCAAGGCCCAGGGGCAAGCGGGAGAAGCCTGGGAACAGTGATGAACACATGAGACAGCATTACAGTACCTGACAGCCTGTGAGAGCAAGAAGAGTAAGAGAGACCAGGTAAGAGAGCGCTCACGGTGTGAAGGAGGAGCGGGACGCTTTTAGTGGCAGGCAAAGCCTCAGAAAGGTGGACACAGTTGCTGATAGACTGGCTTCGCTTAGCTTCCAGGAGAGACAAAGTAATAATTATGTCAGAAGAACAATAGGACCTTTCACTTTATTATTATGACTTTTCTGGGCTCTCTCTAAACATTTAAAGGAAGTCATTTTAAACTTTAAAGGAAGTCAGTACAAAGTACAGTATTTAATTGCAGTCTCTAAATACAGCCAACTTTCAGTCAGTCATTCTCATGACATAGAAGAATGGGCAATCCACAAATAATTTTCTTTTGAAATGCTTTATATGTTTAGCCTCTCCTTCTTTCTGCTGCCTATCAGATTCACATTTGGGTTATTTGCTTGGACAGACATTATAATCAGTTTTCCTTTCCTCAAGGCCATGTACAAAAACGCCATGGTGAAAGAGGGAGTATCTGGCCTTCTTTCAGAAGTTGGTTTGCTGAGAGCTGACTGTATTCAAAAGCAAATCATTTAGTAAATTAAATATCTGAAAAGCTCAAGAACACACACAAGTCAAGTTAAACATTAAAAGATTTGATATTTGAAGAAAAGGTAAAATCTCCATGAAACCCATCCTTTTATGTCACATTTCATGCTTATTAAATCCATACATCTTTAATGTCAACTTTATGGTATTCTTATGTGTTCTATATACTGTTAGTCAAATAAACATCGGGGAAATTGAACGGACACCGGAGGAAAACATGCTTCATATATGTAAAACCACAATCAGCAAAATCAGTTTAATCCTAAAACAAAAATATAAAGATTTACTTGCCGCTTTACTATTTTTATGTGACTTCAGTTAACATTAATGAAACGGACACAAATGATAGTGACACATTTGCAAAACCTGAAACAAACTTTTTACCCTACTGTCCTTTCCCCTACCCTTTGCCTATTAGAATTCCCAGTAGGCTGGGTGTGGTGGCTCACGCCTATAATCCCAGCACTTTGGGAGGCCAAGGTGGGCAAATCACCTGAGGTCAGGAGTTAAGACCAGACTGACCAACATGGTGAAACCTCATTTCTTCTAAAAAGAAAAAATTAGTTGGGCATGGTGTGCACGCCTGTAATCCCAGCTACTTGGAAAGCTGAAGTGGGAGAATCACTTGAACCTGGGAGGCGGAGGTTGCCATGAGCCAAGATCTCACCACTGCACTCCAGCCTAGGTAATAGAGCAAGACTCTATCCCAAAAAACGGAAAAAAAAGAATCCAATGATAGAAAGGCTGGGTGTGGTGGCTCACTCCTGTAATCCCAGTACTTTGAGAGTCAGAGGCAGGCAGATCACCTGAGGTAAGGAGTTTGAGACCAGCCTAGCCAATATGGTCTCAACACAGCCCGTCTCTACCG